CGCGAGGAACGCGAGCGGAGGCATCGCGAGGAACGCGAGCGGCAGAGAAGGCGCGAGGAACGCGAGCGGAGGCATCGCGAGGAACGCGAGCGGCAGAGAAGGCGCGAGGAACGCGAGCGGAGGCATCGCGAGGAACGCGAGCGGCAGAGAAGGCGCGAGGAACGCGAGCGGAGGCATCGCGAGGAACGCGAGCGGCAGAGAAGGCGCGAGGAACGCGAGCGGAGGCATCGCGAGGAACGCGAGCGGCAGAGAAGGCGCGAGGAACGCGAGCGGAGGCATCGCGAGGAACGCGAGCGGCAGAGAAGGCGCGAGGAACGCGAGCGGAGGCATCGCGAGGAACGCGAGCGGCAGAGAAGGCGCGAGGAACGCGAGCGGAGGCATCGCGAGGAACGCGAGCGGCAGAGAAGGCGCGAGGAACGCGAGCGGAGGCATCGCGAGGAACGCGAGCGGCAGAGAAGGCGCGAGGAACGCGAGCGGAGGCATCGCGAGGAACGCGAGCGGCAGAGAAGGCGCGAGGAACGCGAGCGGAGGCATCGCGAGGAACGCGAGCGGCAGAGAAGGCGCGAGGAACGCGAGCGGAGGCATCGCGAGGAACGCGAGCGGCAGAGAAGGCGCGAGGAACGCGAGCGGAGGCATCGCGAGGAACGCGAGCGGCAGAGAAGGCGCGAGGAACGCGAGCGGAGGCATCGCGAGGAACGCGAGCGGCAGAGAAGGCGCGAGGAACGCGAGCGGAGGCATCGCGAGGAACGCGAGCGGCAGAGAAGGCGCGAGGAACGCGAGCGGAGGCATCGCGAGGAACGCGAGCGGCAGAGAAGGCGCGAGGAACGCGAGCGGAGGCATCGCGAGGAACGCGAGCGGCAGAGAAGGCGCGAGGAACGCGAGCGGAGGCATCGCGAGGAACGCGAGCGGCAGAGAAGGCGCGAGGAACGCGAGCGGAGGCATCGCGAGGAACGCGAGCGGCAGAGAAGGCGCGAGGAACGCGAGCGGAGGCATCGCGAGGAACGCGAGCGGCAGAGAAGGCGCGAGGAACGCGAGCGGAGGCATCGCGAGGAACGCGAGCGGCAGAGAAGGCGCGAGGAACGCGAGCGGAGGCATCGCGAGGAACGCGAGCGGCAGAGAAGGCGCGAGGAACGCGAGCGGAGGCATCGCGAGGAACGCGAGCGGCAGAGAAGGCGCGAGGAACGCGAGCGGAGGCATCGCGAGGAACGCGAGCGGCAGAGAAGGCGCGAGGAACGCGAGCCTGTCTCTTATACACATCTAGATGTGTATTTTTGAATGGTGTAAGAATAGTCACTCTGATTTTTTTTAACTAGTCTGTTCAAACTTTTTATTGTACTTCTCTTCTTACAGGAAATGCCGACATGTTGGATATCAATGGCTTTCATTTGGTAGGTGTATAACAGGCTAAAGAAATCTGACAGAAGGGTCATCCCATCTTGCACTGTGTGGGCGATTAGGGACAAGTTCCCAGAAGCTGTGAAGACTGCCCTGGGTTTTTTGATGCTATAGAAGATGATGAAATAAACTTTGTGTTGGAAGAATTATTTATAAATTGTTATGGAAGATAATTGATAAGTCTATCCTCATTTATGCAACAGATCTTATGTAAATAGATACATTCTTGACAATTCATGTGACAACTGTGCTCTGTTTTTTTGACAATCTCATAACTCATGAAAGGAAATTTTGTCAGCATAGGCCTAGAGCTTTTGTATATCTGGACCAGTCAATTGTGTGTAACCTAGTCTGTAATTGAAATTGTTGCTATTGATGCGGATAGGCCAGCAAAGTTGATTTCAAGAACATTTTGTCGTTATGTACAGTACAATGTTTTTTTGTATCTTCCCTACTCTCGTCTCATATCTTAAAATTTTAAGCTAATACAGTATGAATTAGAATTTTGTGTACAGTAAATAAATGTAACTTGTTCTTCCCTATTCTTTACATTGGTATAAACTATAGTAAATATAAATCCATATATAATATTTAATATTTTGATAATAAATAGAGTGTGTAAAATGCAGTGATATATATTGTAATACCTGACTGCTTTAATGTTGCTTTATTCTGTGTACAGTAAAACAATTTTATATTAACTGTGAGAAAATACACTTGTAATAAATTATTTGCAATGTACAAGGATGATAAATTGCGTTTCAAAATATTTATTTAGTAACACCAGCAGTCTTGAATTTACTGTATGTACAACAATAACAAAGTGAAGCACCAAAAATATGGATGTTGAATATCTTCATGAAAGAAGAAATCTTGGCTATGGTAATACAAGACAATCAGACATGATAAATAGGGCAGTGCAGTTAAACTTGCCTAAGACGACTAATAATATACTCTAATAATTTCTAAATCGATCTAATTTTACATGCCGATCTAATTTTACATGCCGAATTGTTGTGTTTTCCATTACCATAAGAGCAAGTCAAATTTTGTTAGGGTCAAACAATTTCTCAATGGCATTTTGGATATGACATAGGCAAGTTCAACTACTGTATTTTAAAATACTAAACAAAAACTGGTGTACAGAAAAAAAATTGAAGCTTTCTCTTAAATTCCAATACCAAATTGATCAGCATGCAGACATAGGCATAATCCAGGCATTAAAAAATAAGCAGTTTCATAGAATAACTTTACACAAGACTGTACAAAGCCATACATTAAAATAGTTGTTCCTGTAAATTTAAACTCATTTAAAACTAATTTGAAAAATTTTTATTTACAAAATCGCTTTAATTGGGTTAATTGTTCACTGCGCCTTTGATAATGTTTTTTGAATTGGCGTGTTATAAATTTCTGCAATTATTATTATTATTATTATTATTATTATTATTATTATTATTATTATATATTGAGCCACATTTTCATACTGTACTATCAACTTCGCACATTACATATTTCAAAATTAATCCTCACAATTTGTTTTCTAAATCTGGGTCACATATTTGCTTCAAAAGAATTACTATTGAATGGGATTATAATACCATTTAATAATATTAAAGATATTTTGCAAGTGAAACAGGTACAGTAATACTGGTACAGTATTTATTTATTTATTATAAATTTGGCATGCAATATAAACCAGATGCATAAAAAACAAAAACTTAAGTGTGTGGCATTTCAGTATATCTTCAGAAAAAAAAATCGCTAGATAAATCATTTTAATTTAATTCTTTGGAAATATTTTGGCCTCAATCACTTGCTGCAGAGCTCTGAGCATCGCCACCTTCGGCTAACCATGGATTGGACATGTCCATTTCATCATGTCCACACAGATGGAATTGTTTGCATCACATCCATCCATTTGAGCCAATCATTTGCTCCTACTGAGGAATAAATATACAGTAGTAACAATAATGCAAAACCAGGTTTGTTAAAAATCAAAAATGTTACCAAACATTGGCATTTGCTGCTTTATCAATAACATACCATACTGAGATACAGTATGTACTAATCTGAAAAGACATTCATCAATTGACAGTATTTTTTAAGAATTTTTAATTACTTGATTAAAGCCTTCCTGTCTGCTAGTGTGTAATGTATTATTGTTGTTTCTTAATAAAACTGACACACCATGCTGATATTTTTTTACCATTCCAATATATTTGTTTCATGTACTCTGGCTGAACAGTGATGTGATATTCACTTAATTTTCTTTTGCTCACCATAAATTTTGTGTAGCTTTCATTACAAGTTTCAGCAAACAACCAGAGTGTTTCTTGCTAACGTCTTGCTGGGTGCTTGTATGCTTTGTACCACCTTCTTTCGTAGATGCCAATGTTGGGTGGTTGTACTCATGGCAAATGTTGTGGTATGTTTGTCATCGGACTGATATCTGTTTATTAATTCACTTGAATTATTCCTCCATGATTGAATTGACGTTGACTAAACCGTCTCTCTGTAACTGCGTACGTAAACGATCACAAAACTCGCGACTTCACACTAGGCTAAAGTGTACTGTATGTATTGTCTAGTCGCTCAATCGTCGGGACGATTTTTCGATCAGCTGCTCGCCAAAAATTAATTGACAGACTTGTCTTGAATATTAATGAGTTGGTTAGAAAATGCTACCAAGCTACTGAAAAAAGTGATCAGCCTCATTTTCACCCGATTTTCCTGTCTCATCATATCATGTTTTGTTTCTGTAATTATCGTTACATCTCAACATTTTGAATTTTTTAGGTATTTTTCCCGAACTCAGGAAAGGTTAAATAAGCAATATATGGCCACTTGTCTCATCCCCGCACCCCCGTCTCCTCCCCGCACCCCCCCCCCCCTTTAACAGGAATTTCATCCAAACCTGCTGCTTTGCTTTCAGATAATGAATATATTAATTTTCGAATATAATCTTCGTTTATGTTATTCAAATGAAAAGCTTCAATATTTAATGTGTAGTCAGGTTTATTAACATGAGAAGTATTAGTTACAGGTATACTTTTAGCTAATTTTGGCCCTATCGTTGCTAAGTATGTGTTTACTGCATTGACAATATCTTTTTTATTAGTAAGAATCTCACTTTCGTTTTTTTCAGGTAAATTTTTCTAATGTTTTTCCAAATTGTTTTTGAATTTTTTGACAGAAGTTCATTTTTTAAAACATTAGATTTATTTCTTTTAATCTGTTTATTTATTTTATTTTTTATTTTACGATAATCATGCAATAACTTACTAGATCGTTGTTTCAAGGCCTTTGTTTTTAAAACGTCTCTCTCTCTTATAGATTTTATTATATCTTCAGTGAGCCAAGATGCGTTTTCTTTTGCACATGTTTTCTTTTAATAGGGGCATGTTTACTTGCCACTTCTAAGAATTTATTCTCAAATGCACTTACGACGTTTTCTATATTGGAAATAAATGTCAATTTGTGCCAATTTATAAAGCTTAAATCCATTTTAATATATTTATTATGAAGTAATATGCTGTAATATTGACAACACTTATAACAAAAACAGAAACAAAATATAAATAGTGGCCAAAAACTTCTCAAACCTGTATTGCAATCGTTGCCTTCATATCCGTCGATGCAGGTGCATCCGAATGGATCAGGAGGACAAAAAAGCTTTCCTTTACAAGCTTCACCATCTCCAGTAGTACAAACAACATCACAATTACGACCCCAGTTGTTGCTTCCACAAGCTACACAAACAAAATGAAAGTATAAACCATAAATACCGAAACATTATTTTATGAAAAAAGCACTTACAATTTTAGGCTGATGACTTTATTATTTTAAGATTTCTCATACTGTATATTTACCATTGAAATATATAAATATATAGAAACTTGAGTTTCCGAGTACTTAAAGGTAAATTGAATTAAATTAAATTTAAATTTGTTGGCTTACATGTTTGGCAGTTTTCTCCTTTGAAGCCTGCAGGGCATATACATATACCGGTCTTGTCGTCACAAACTCCACCGTTATAACACACAGGACAATCCATCTCACATTCAGGGGGTCTCCATTTTGGCAGTGGACAATCTAAGTAAAAATGTTTACTATGTCAACACAAAAAGTAGACAATAAATAAATAAAATAAAATATGTAAACACTTCTAGCATGTGGGTGGACACTTATGATGTAGAGACAAAACAAAAATTGGCCAGAAAACTGGTACAACACTACAAGCATTGGTACTGTATAAAGACAACCCAGGTGGAGAGATCAGACATTAGGCGAAGAGGCGTTAAAGATTCAAAAAGTCCTTGGTTAAAGTAATGGGAAGGTATAAATATATAAATATATCCATGGAGGAATTAGTTTAGAACTAATTCCTCTATGATATATCCAGGGAAATTTCACTGTTTCCTGATATATCTAATATTTTAAGTGAATAAAATGTGGTGCTGAATGTGCTCTAAAATCAGAAAATGTAATGCATAAAACAGTCATACTTATTTCCCTATACCTTAATGCTATAAATCAGATATGGATGAATAATCATAATTATATTATATAATTATAAACACTCAGGACAAATAAAAAATGAAAACAATCACCATATCAAATGTCATTAAACCATATGGCATAAAATAAGTCAAAACAAAATTAAAGCTTATGACTAAACAAAGGAAATAATTTCTTAATTGAACCATTTTTTATTTTTTAAATAATGAGAAAATCAAAACATATATATTTTTGACTACAAAACAATTTTATATTATTGCAATAATAACTATTTCTTCGTTCTCCATCAATCCAACATTCTATTGATTGTGAATTTCAACAAATGTGAATGTTATTCATATTTACCTCTGACAATGAGTCTCATTACTCCGTGGTTGTCATCAGGACTACCACTTCTATAACATTCATATACCCCGTCATCTTTAGCTCGTATATTTTCAATCGTAATGGAAGAATTACCGTTCCACATTTGAATTACGTCACCATAATTATGTTTCCAGCGTAAATCGTTATAACCGCCATCTTCACTGAGGCTAATAGTGGCAGATTCCCCAATGCCGACAGTCAGCGTTCGAAACTGCATTCTAATGGTAGCTGTGAAAATACATTCAAATAATGATGATAGAACAAAAAAAATTACTTAACTGCGTGGCGGGTCAGGGAATTAAAAATAAAGAAGACAAGGAGGTGGAGGGTGAAGACCACCTCAGCCCCACCATGGTAGGGGCTGAGGTATAACAACATTTATGAAATGGTACTCTCAAGTTTAAATTTTAATTTCCGTTTTTTCGCACAATATACGTTTATTTGTGGCTAAATACAACGTAATAAGCCACCAAGTTTTAAAATTATAATAACAAGTATTTGTAAAACTTGTGTATGACCTTAAACTTGTAGTAGCATACCCAAGCGCAATAAAAAAAAAATCTCACATTATACGTTTATTTGGGACTAAATACTGTACAACGCAGTAAGCCACCAAGTTTTAAAATTATAATCACAAGTATTTGTAAAACTTGTATATGACCTTGAACTCGTAGTACCATAAAGGAGCACAATAAAAAAAAATCTCACAATATTTATTTGGGACCAAATACAACGCAGTAAGCCAACGAGTTTTAAAATTATAATCACAAGTATTTGTAAAACTTGTATATGACCTTGACCTCGTAGTACCATACATGGGCGCAATAAAAACAAATCTCACAACATACGTTTATTTGGGACTAAATACAACGCAGTAAGCCACCGACATGAAAAATTCTAATTCTAATTAAAAGTAAAACTTGTTTATGACCTTGACCTTGTAGTATCATGCACGCACACAAGAAAAGAAAATCTCACATTTGTTGAATTGGAAATAAGTACGACGTAACACAGTAGTCACCGCGTTGGAAAATTATAATACAATAGTAAAACGTGTATATGACCTCCCAGGTAACAATCCCACATGGGGCCCATATGCAAAATATCTGGGAAAAGTCTTATGGACTACCCCATATTTTTCCCTTATGGGATTCGTCTGGGCAATCACAAAAGGGCCTTGCCCATGGTTTACCCATATGGAGCCGATGCCAAATATATAGGCAAATATATATGGGAATGTCCATATTTAAAGTACATGGGCCCCATATGGTAAATACTGGGCAGATAAATATGGAAATGCCCACATTTACTCCGCATGGGGCCCATGTGCCAAATATCTGGGAAAATACATATGGGCAGTTCCGGTGTCCTATTTCAAGTAAACTGGCCTAACTGTTGTTGAATTCTCTAACTATACTACTGTGCTAGGCCTAATTCGCAGCCAAAACCATTGCATTCCCTGGGCCTAAGCCTACGTAGGCCTAGGCCTTCTTGTTTAAGCCTATAATTATTGGCCTAGTTTCTTGAACTGGCGTTGGATCGCCAGTTAACTCTCTGGCTAGGGGCATAAGCCAAGGCATAGCCTACGTTTTTCTCTTATTATATTTTTCGCTGGTGATGTATATTATTAGGCTAGGCCCTGTCTACTTATAATGTCATTGTGTATAGGCCAGGCCTAGCCTAGACTTTGTATTTAACTTTAGTATAGGGGACCTGGCTGGCTAGCCCTCCCACCACCAAGCCTAGGGGGGGGGGGGCCCTAGGCTGTCCGTATTGTGTCCACATATACACCAGAACATAATGTCATTGTCAAAATATTGAATTCCAACATGATGGAGTGCATTACAATTCAAAGCTGTTTTCTGTTTCTCAAGCATAAAATACTATACTACACTTTATTTAATATCAGTATAGGCCTACATCTTTGTGCAGCCTACTGTATATTGTTGATATTAATTGTAAAGTTAAACATTTTCTTAATTTCTTCTTTATGTTGTGTTTTTGTCAGGAGTAAAACATGAGGCATCCATAGGCCATTATTAATAGAGCTACTGTAAGTATTGGCGAAGATGGACACCAAAACTTAAAATTCAATATCCAAATATCAGATCACCATCCTGAGCTGCAGTATGTGCTACCTGCCAACATACCAGTACTTTCTATGGAGGCATTATAATAATTTTGATCGGTTTTGAAGATGGTCTTGTGCAAACAATTGGTGAGTTTTGTTGTAGCCTATTTATTATTTTGTGAATACTTATTAAGGTGAATGGTAATATACAGACATATAATGTGATTGGGATTCCATTTCATCACTTATCACAAGTTGGTCAATGGTAAGGATTAGATGATGTACGCGTAAAATTAGATTTCATAATTCCATGATATAATAGTAGACAAAATACTACATTGTCGTCTTATGCTAACATTTTTAATTAAAGCATAATGTTTGTTATTTCTTTGTTTTTACTTTATTTTCTTTTATTTTTTGATTTGATAAACCTACTTTCATTAATATATTTAACTAAGCTTGAATAACTGTTTGTGTACCTGTACAGTAGTGTGCTAAATTTTTGATGTGCAGCCTGAGAGTTACCTTAACAGACTACATTATTTGAACTTGCACAAAACACCTCATTTACACTTATCACAGAACAAAAATTTCAAAATACATCAACTACTTCATGTGATGGAATTTGGTGCTATAATATTTTGTTTTATTTACATGGTAATTCACTTAACGTATATATATTATATTTTACAGTATTTTCAAGCCTTGAAACTTGTTTAACAACATTGAAATCTATCCTGAACAACTTTGTTGCCTGAATTCATCTTAACTGGATCAAAAAGTACCAAGAAGTTTCAAAAGCTCAAGATTGTCAAAATCAGTAAGTAAATAGATTCTAAAAACAAATGATTGGGTGAGACTTTTCTATACCTTGTTTATCGAACCTGCCTACTGCAAATATTGATATTTTTAAATAAAAATAAAATTTTATTTTTGAGGAATTAGCGCACCCACTGCCACAAAAAAAGGAAACTGCAGTAAAAATTAGTTTTTAAAAATTTTAATTATGCCCTCCACTGCCCTGAAATCTCCAAAATATACATATTATATAAATTGCATTTAACCATCCTAATTTACATTCACCAATAAAATTGTATATTTATTTTCTCCTCCGTCTGGATGTCTTAGACGAAACTGTTTGCTGAATAAAAAAAATAAATGTTATCTTTATTTTTATTCCGCCCTCCTCCGATGATCTTTAGAAAAATAAATACATGAAACAAGGTATAAAAGAAGTCGCGCCTTAGCTACTGATGAAATAATATCCATGTAACATAACAATGTTTAGGATTACTGTGTGGATCTAAGCACTACATTGTTACTTTATTATTCGTAAAACCCAATCTGTTTAGCTTCTATAAATATATATTGAATTATAGGATGATACTCATATCAATAGTACTCAACACATCCTTAATAAAATCATATTTAAGGCAATCAAAGTGTTTAATACTGTAAAACCAGCTAAACTTTCATGTGCAAACAAATTTCACAAATACCATACAAAATTTAGGAATATCGTATGTTAATGAGGATTGTAATTATCATGTAATTATTAGCTGTGTCTGGCCAGCTAAACCCTAGCAGATAGGCAGTCTTATGCCTCAGCCTAGCTAGCATTAGAAAGAGATGATACGATATTGTCATCATAGATGATCTATAATATGGTGTTCATCTCATGAATAAATTCAGGTGTTAGGGCACATAGAAAGAATTATTAGAATACCCTCCTTTTAAAAAAAAAATGTGATGAGGGTGGATTTTTTTTATTCCGCATCAATATTCCCAAAATTAGTTAATGTGCGCAGGAGTGATAATATAACAATCTTTTTATATGTGCCCTTATCAATTTACGAAAGTTTCATGTCACAAAAGTTTCTTGTTTTACATTAGTTGTAATGCTGTAATTTAACCTCTTTGAAATTTTTTGTGCACCAAGCCTCTTAGTTTTTACAGCCAGGCCTTGCTGAAAATTGAGTGGTTAATTTTAGGCAAATAATTGTGCCGCATTTAAATATCTGTGATGCAATTGTGGAAGTGCTTCGCAATTACAGTAGTGTAAAACCTGTCACATTTTGCGATGCGATACTGGGTAAAACGAATGCTGAAGCCCAGTAAAAATACTTTATCGTAATTAAAATTAGATCTCATTCACATTCACTTTACCTTTCTAATGCATAAAAAATGTAATAATTTGTCATAAATGTGCTGTGATGATTGTATGTAATCCCAAAGGTGTTAGGAGACATGTCACCTATATCAATAGTTTAGACCTAAAGTAAATTTGCACAAAAACCAAAGTCAATGAAAACACTAATTTTCAAAATTTTATTTTTTTTATTTGATAAATCTAAGTGAGTAAATCTTAAAAGCTATTATTTTTAGGTCTTTTTTTTTTTTCTCAGGGCCAGTTTGCAGAATTCTGAAATGCGAGGATGCAACTAGATGTCAAATAAAAAGGAGGCGATTGAATACTTTCTTAATAAACTTTGTGGAAAAGTATGAGGGAAAAAGGCATTCGTACTGTCTGTTACTATGATTCATGGTGGAACTATTGACAATTCTTATTTATACTCTTGCATGGACCCTATCAATTTGAGGATATTCATAATCTGTAAAAACGTTAAATATGTGATATTCCCAATGCGATCAAAATGATGGAATATTCTTACTTTCCAAGGAGCTGGAGAAATTGAATTGTATAGTTATTAAGGGACATTAAGAAATTTTGATTTCATTTACCACTATTTTGTATTTGCAATTGACAAGATTGCTTTTTCTACAAAATAAATAAAATGATTGATGTGTTAAAATGAAATAACCGTTTTGTTTAATCATTTCAGTAAAAATATTTTGTACTCTACGTGCAATTGAAAAGTTTTATTTTCAGAAAAGGAGTAATTTGTTGAAATGTACACCTAGCTCATGGTCATCGACTCAGCCAATATTCAAACCAGAGTTAGAAGCCATGTCAGAAATATGTGGCTATCATATTTGTTCTCTCTGGGCCATGTCAGCTATACAGGCTCCCATATGGGCAAACCAATATGCCATCCATATGAGCGAGAAAATATGGGCCTCACATATGGGACACCTATATACCACCCATGTGCAGTTGCAATGGGTACCATGTTTGTACCACATGGGGTTTTGGTGGAGAATACGAGGGGCCCCCATATGGGCAAACCCATATTACATCCATATGGGCCAGAAAATAAAGGGCCCCATATACCACCCATGTGCAATTGCATATGGGTACCATGTGAGAATCCCATATGCCACCCATGTACAAATGCATAAGGGTACCATGTTGGCCCCATATGGGTTCTCTGAAAGATGTAGGCCCCACATGGGGCTTGGGTGCAGAATCCAGAGGATGCCTTAAGGGCTAGTCCATACCATACCCATGGGTTGGGAAATATAGGTTCCATATGGTCCCCAAATGGGTTATACCTGGGCTATGGGTTAAACCACATGGGCCCGACATGGGGCTTGGGTGCAGAATCTGGAGGTTTCCTCAAGGATAACCCATATAGTACTCATATGTGTCGGGAAATATAGGTTCCATATGAGAAACTCATGTAAAAATGCGTGGGTTCCATATGGGCCCCAAATGGGTTATATCTGGGCTATGGGCTAAATCAGATGGGCCCCACATGGATCTTGGGTGCAGAATCCGGATGTTTCCTCAAGGATAGCACATATGGTACCCATATCGATCAGAAAATATAGGTCCCATATGGGAAACCTATATGCCACCCACATACAAATTAATGTGGGTTCCATGTGGGCCCCAAATGGGTTATATCTGGGCTATGTGGGCTGAATCATATGGGTCCCACATGGAACTTGGGTACAGAATCCAGAGTTTCCTCAAGGATTGCACATATGGTATCCATATAGATCTGCATATGGGCACCATGGGTCCCTTATGGGCTTGTTACCTGGGCTTGACCTTGTAGTATTAGTCATCCATAATAGGAAACATTAATAATAATAATAATAATAGTTGGATTTGTAGAGCGCATCATGCGAAAAAGCCTCTATGTGCTTAGTGATTGAGCTCTTTGATTTGGACATTTTGAGAAAAAAGAAAGTTGAAGTTATTTTATGAAACTAAAAAAACATACTCCTTAAACTAAGGCATGGTTGGCCATTGGCTCCGAGGAGTTCATCCGCCCTTTGTTCAGCTGTTTTTTTCGTGCTGCTGGGTGTCCATCCACCCTCCCATTGGCGGCCGCTAAAGACCACCAGATGGGGTTGTTGGAATTAGTCGCCGACGACTCGACCGGATGCAGTTTACATACATGCCAAGTTTGAGTTTGGCTGTGGATGGAGATTTGCACAGGAACGAAACAATTTAGGCGTGGGTCAAGGGCCCGCCTAGGGCCCCGGAAGTTTTTAGGCCTAGATGCTCTCTGGTGCACTCTGAGCAGATCGCTAGTGCTCAAATTAAATCTTAAAAATGGGGTAATATATACTAACATTTTTTGAAAAATAAAATTCTATAGCTTTATTTCAGTGTTAAAACTCAACCCTCTAGATACCGTCTTCGACTGTAGTCAAAATTGACCTCAAACCGAGAATTCCCATTTTCGACTGCAATCGAAATTTCGTGACTAAAAAATAGGTGGTTTTCAAATCGCTCTTCTGTTTTTATTTTAGCTCCAATACGTCAGAAATTTTGAACATGCATGCGTGATGCTTTTGTTTTTCGAAATCTGTGAAGAACTCACATACCCTTATATAAAAATTTTTAGAAATATCAATTTGAAATCGTTATTAATTTCAAAAATTTTTCGAAATGGCCGCACAAGATGTGTACACAGCCGAGCAAGCGATTGACCTGATTTTTGATTCAGACAGCGATGAAGGTGAATTTTTAGATGTGCGAGACTTAGACGTGCCTGTTAGCGATGATGACTTCAAGCGATGATAGGGCTTCAAGCAGTTTTGACGGCGGAGATATTCTTGATGAAGATGAGCCTAGGCCTAGAAA